ATCATTTCCATGTCAAATTCATGTATAAGATAGTCTGTTTGAAGAAATTTCCCTGTTCCACAAGCAGCAGGGTGTGTGATATTTAATGGAGATCTATTAATTCCTCCTGGTTTCCAAATCTCCTCTATGCAAACCTTTTCTCTGCTCATTGGTTACATCAGAAGACCCCAAAATGCTTTTGGGAAAGAAAGTTTTCTACTAGAACCAATGAGAGAGGATCTCATTTGCATGAAAGGAGAAAGCAGAGGGCTTTTAAGGAAAGGAAAGGGGAAGATCTGAAGAAGGTTATCATTTGCTTCCTGAAAAGAGTATTCCTTGCCAAAGCTGACCATGGGCTGGGCTGTGATTTTCTTGGCAGTTCTCACTTACTGCACAGGTAAAGTAATTGGCCAAAACAAAATCTGCCTGTGATTCTCCTAAGAACAGCTTCCCTGGGAAATGACAAAGACCAAAGGACGGTGCATTAGATCCATAAGCACTGCTTTCTTTCTCTCTCTCCTCACTCTTTCTCTCCTTCCCTCCCACCTTTATCTAAAGGCATCGATGGTCAGTCCACTTGGACTCAGCCTCCCTCCAGCTCCGTCTCCCTGGGTGGATCCATTAAGATCTCCTGCAGAACAACTCAGAGTTCCTACAGCATCGGCTGGTATCAACAGAAAGAAGGAAAAGGGCCTCGTTTTGTCCACTGTGATGGCTGCAGCAACAGGGGAGAAGGGATCCCAAATCGGTTCACTGCCACCAGATCTGGGAGTACAGGATCCTTGGCCATCACCAGTGTGGAGGCTGAAGACGAGGCATCTTATTACTGCGGCAGCTGGAACAGTGCAGTTACCCAGTTGCACGGTGATGAACTCTTATGGGGAAGTGTGGCAAAAACCTTCGCTCTTCTTCTTCAGACTGAAACCAGATGCAACGTACCTTGATCTGTGACTGGGGACGCTTGAGCTGAAGAGACAGGAGAGAAACATCTGTAGGCTCATCTGGATCTACAGAGAAGTCTCTCAGCGCCCAGCATGAGGGATGATGGGCGCAGAAGGGTGGATGAGAAGGGTGGAGGTGGATGGGGAAGCGATCCCACCAACCCGTGAGCAGAGGAAAGATCGGCGGAAAGAAGGGTGAGGGGGATGGGAGCGCCTGGACCCGGGTGAGGGCTAGGAGTACTGGGGACGAGGGAAGGAAAGGAGTGGAAGAGGTATACGACGGGACCGACAGGAGCGAAGAGACCGTGAAGGTGGAAGTAGGGAGGGTGGAAGTTGGGCGAGGGCGGAAGAGAGAGGGGAGGCAGCCCCATGGAGTGAGGGATGGTAGTTGGCGTACAAAGGAGGGGCGGAGAGGGGAGGAAGAGGATAGGGGGCATGCCATGGTGGAGGATGAGGGGGTCAGCAGGAGTGATAGGACGAACAACAGAGAGGAGGGGAGGGAAAGCGGGATGACAGACAACAGAGATGGGGGGAGGGAACGTAGGGAGGAG